CTCTCTCTCTCTCTCTCTCTCTCTCTCTCTCTCTCTCTCTCTCTCACACACACACACACACACACACACACACACACACACACACACACAGATGTCTCGTAGGCGCGAGGGGTCTTCATAATGCCCACGTCTGCAGGACAAGTCTTTGCATCGCGAGAAATGAAGAAAGAAAGAAAGCAAGAAATGAAGAAAGAAAGAAAGAAAGAAAGAAAGAAAACAAAAGCACGGCAACAGAAGACAGCGCATGTAATAGGAAAGTCAGAACACGGAGCAAACGCCGAACTGCAAGAAAGCACGGGCGAGAGCAAAGACAGTTTTACCGTAAGAAGGAATAATTTACTTGACGATTCGAGACTGAAGGCGCACAGCTGATCGCAGCATAATCATCAGCACCCATACACTACCACTACTAGGGACCTCTTGGAGCGGAGCGGAGCTCTGGACTATGGATTCCTTCGCCGAAGTCGTTGTTCGCCATATCCCACGAAGAGAAGAGTCCAGCATCCCCCACCTACTTGGGGAACTCCGTGGGCTAAGCGAAGTCCCACCAGCGGGGTTCTGACTTGGTTTAGAGTACGCACCGGTTCCGTTGCTGCCCTGGCCCACTAGACAACATTCTGCACGCGTCCTGAATGTGGACCACATACATTCCGGCTGATCCAATATTTTGACCGTACCTGAACTCTGACAGATACTTTTAGGGTACAGCCCCACTGTCGGGACAAAGGCAGTAATGAAAAGGCGCATTACCAAAAGGGGTGCGCATCCATATTAGGCACGCAAGTGGCATTCAGGACGTCGAGGGTTCGACTCCCACGACTGCCAGCCAGCTGTGAGAGTCTGCGTAGGGCGTACCCACACAGCGGTGGAATAGCAGCAAGATCTGCGATTTTTGCTATCCCGGAAAAAAAAAAAAAAAAGCCACCCCCCCCGGTCACATAGCGGCAGCAAATCACAAAAGACAGGAGCCGGCCTTTCTGGCAATTGCCAAAATGGTGCTTCGCGTGGTCACACAGCGTGAGGCCCAAATCCTTCAACTTCTTTTTTTTTTCAACGAAGGGGCTCGCCACACAGCCTTTCGAAAAGGAGGCATTTTCCGAAATTTGCCAGACGGAAGGCCTTTCGAAAAGGAGGCATTTTCCGAAATTTGCCAGACGGAAGGCCTTTCGAAAAGCAGGCATTTTCCGAAATTTGCCAGACGGAAGGCCTTTCGAAAAGGAGGCATTTTTGAGGGAAAGGGGGGCGGGCCGGTGGTGCGAATCGCTGCGTTAACCAACGCGCCTCACTACCGGAGACGGCGGCGAAGCTCCGCGTTGCGGCGACACAGGGATAGAGCTCGGCGGAACCTCTGAGGTTTCGTTCTCGGTAATTCCGAGGACGAAAGGTGTAGGACTGTACACACTGTAGTTCGCTACAGTGAGTGTCTCCTGTGGAATACCAGGGACCTGTACATTCCCTCCCCCTAGACAAAGGAGCGCGACGGTCAAACTTGAATTCTCGTTGGAGACAAGAAGGGCTGATGACTAACCGTGACAAGCGTCAAGAACTTGGAGCGCCATAGTGTTCGGGAGAGACAAGAGCTATATAGGCACAAGGACAGGTATAACCTCCACTCCACAAACCAAGGGCGAGGGTTCTGGGGAATCGAGATAATCCTAAGTTATTGGAAGCCTGGCAGAATAGGTAATGGTCTAAACTTAATTTTTCGTTCTAAGGATGGAGCCGGTAATGGAGGATAGTTCTGAGGAAAGGACCACTCTGTCGGATGAGGAAGTGCAGCGGATTAGGGGGATCCTCTCGCAGTGTTTCACGGATGGGATCCTACCAAAAAAACTCGCCCCAAACACAGTAGAGGTAGGGGATGACTACGTGCGGGTCATAGTCAACCCCGAAGTCTACGAAATTCAAGCACAATGGCTTCGTGAGCATGCAGTCACAATTCTGTTTGGGGATGAGTCAACATCACTCCCAGTCGGTGTTAAGAATCGCCTAGTTAGAATATATGAGAACGGCTGGGCTTCCGCAGGGCAATTTGCAGTTTCACCAAAAAGAGGCTGTTTCCACAACGAAGGTAAGAACCTAGTTACCTACGTTGCACCCGCTAAAGAAATAGCAGCATGGATGTTCAAAGAAGGCCGCACAGAAATTGAATTGGTTAAAAGGCTATATTCGGTCTCCTTCCGACCCTGGATGACGGAGCAGGAGCTCTGGGAATGGCGGGAGGTTGCCAGACATAGCTTTTTCTGGATACGTTGCCAACAGGTACCGGTTGCTGCTCTACCTTTTTTGCATGGGGCAGTAGAGGACGCGTTTGGCAAAGTAATTAAAGAGTGTCCAGCCTACAAGGATCCGCTGGCCCCAGATTTATTGAATATTCGTTTCGATTTGGAGTCAGCAGCTCGATTGAGGCACAAAAGGTACCTGGTTGTTGATTTAGGTTCTCACGGATATGTGAATATCGAGGTGGTGTGTGCATCCACCCCATGGTGCCCAGCATGTCGCCAACATTTTCATGTAGAAGGAGACCCGGATTGCGCAAAAGGGAAACGTGTGTCGTATGCGGAAAAAAACAAAGTCCTGGAAAGCTCCGTCAGGGCCGAATTCCAAAGGCAGGGATCGAGTGCTGAAGGACCCCGCTCCAAGGAAAGATGAGGCAAAAAAAACTCCCCCCCCCCTTCCTCGGAATGAGGAACGGGTGGAAGTGGAGAAAGGAGCAAAGGGCCCAGATGCCCCATCAAGCGGAGAGAAGGATCTGGAAAAGCCGCCTGAACCTGATACAAAGATAGATATAGATGCGGAGAAAGATCAAGGGGAAAAAGAGTTAGGGGAGAAAGATGCGATGGACGAAGACAAGATAGCAGCAGGAAGAGAGAAGAGGAAAAGGGAGGAGGACCCCGTGGAGGAAAGAGAGAAAGCGGAGGAGGAACTCGAGGAAGGGAGGAGGAAAGAGCGAGAGTTCGGGGGGAACAGGAAAGGAGTGGAGGAGGAGAAGGAAGAGGACGGAGGGAAGGGTGGTAAAGAGGTGGACGAGGAAGAGGCAAAGCCCCCCTCGCCGAAGGACAAGGAGGGCTGTAAGGGGAAAGAATGGGAAGAGGACATGAGTGAAGCGGCCTCCAGCTCAGACAGCGAGATGAGTGAGGACAGTGATGAGGGAGAGGATGACACGGATGGAGAGGAGATAGGATTGGCTGCGATTAAAACCCCGGAACATGCCGCAGTTAAAATTTTCCATAATGAAATGTTTGAAGACAAAACAGAAATGCGGGCTGTTAAGACACTGGACGTGGGAGACTCTTCTTCAGATGATGATTTTGTGGATTGTTGAGAGACTAACTCTACACCAGACAAGGACAACACGCTGAGCAAGGAGGACAGACAAAGGCTAGCCATAAAGGCAGCCGGCCCTCTGCCCTCCAAATTATCAGAGATCCCAAGCAAGCAGGCTGATATGCGATCCGTAAATAACCAACGAAAGGAGAAAGAGGGAATGGCGAATTTCTCGCTTACCACAACACTATCAATGCCCACCTTGGGACGCTCGGATAGGATAAGTAAAAAAATCAATGAGGTGGCAGTCCCGATAATTTGTACACAGTCGCAATACGGACCGATGGTGCTCACAAAATTGGATAATAATGAGGCGATTTATTTTCCAACGTTTCCGGTAGTAGGCCATCCATCGCAGGCGCTGATGATAGCCGAGACAAGGAAACAAGTCTTGGCAGAATCTTTCTCGTGCGCAATTCTGACAAATCCCAAGAGAGGCAGAGTCATTGTTGACACACCTCAAGGAAAGAGTGTACTACACTTGGCCTTCATGAAACTTCAGGGAAATCCACAGGCTCTTGGAACCTTGTGTTTGCAACAGGTCCATTGGACCCCGTTGGTGCATTTCCTGGACACCAGTATCGACACCTTAAAAGACATGGAGTTAGGTGAGGGCCTAACAGCACATTCGATTGCCGAATGGATTACACACTCCCGGTTGGAAGATGTGTTGACCTCAGTAGCTTTTGCCGACAGTCTGGCCATACCCCCCCCCTCTCCTCCGAGTGCTCAGGCACCAGGACGAATAAAGGTAGGAGTCCTACAGAACGATCAGAGACAGAGCCAGGCCAAAGGGGGAAGCACCACAGTAGGCCGTATCCAAGCTTCTCGCGGTAGAGGTCGGGACAATGGTCCTGCCAAACCACGTTAGGTTGGTTACGTGAAACGTACGAGGAATGGGAGACCAAAATGGTAAATGCAAAAACCTGAGTCTACGATAATGGATTCATTCTCAAAATGCGCATATAATCTGCTTGTAGGAAACTAAATTGAACGAGCAAAAGATAACAATTTTCCATGCATGGTGGGACGGGCCTCAGTTATGGGCCCCGGCGGTGTGGTCTAAAGGGGGAACAACTATCCTCATTAATAAAGATTTAGATGTAGAAATAGTAGATTACTATGCGGATACCGATGAACGCTGGATTTGGGTGAAGTTAGTAGTCGATCAGGAAGAATGGGCGATAATGTCGGTCTATGCCCCAGTACATTATCATGATAGGATCCAGTTTTTGGCCAACCTACCTATGTGCATGCCCGATACTGAGAATCTGATCTTGGCCGGTGATTGGAACACGATATTCAATCCTGGGCTAGATTCGCTCAAAATTAAACCCATAAGAGCCGACACAACCATGCTGGTGTCATTAGTAGAAGCCCAGGCATTAACTGATGTATACAGAGTATTTAATCCGGAGGTCTTTGGCTTTACATGGCACGGCAATAAGCCAACACAAAGTACTCTTGCCCCTCATAAGCGTTTAGACTTTTTCCTTGTGAGGGGAACCCCATGAGATCTAAGTATGTGGTGTGACCAGGGGGTCTTATCTTCCTCTGATTACTACCCAGTGCTGTTAGACATCCTCTCAAAGGAGGTGGTGGAGAGACACCGTCCTCCCTTCAGATTTAACACTAACCTTCTAAAAGATCAAGATATAGCAAAATGGGTGTCATCCCACATGACAGCTTGGCTTGATGCAAAGAATCTTTTCGCTGAGACAGAGCAGTGGGCAGACACGGGGATAGCGATAGTGCAAATGGACCTTCAGGAATTCTCAAGAATGAAAGCCACCACGCGGAACTGGCAAGAAAAATCACTTATAAAAGCTATTCAGGAGGCGGGAATAAAGATGGGGGGGGACCCCTTTTCAGACTTTTATTGGTCTGAGAAGAGACAAGAGTACTTGGTAAGGCTAGAAGAGCTGGAACTGAAAAAACAGCTGGAATGGTCGGAGTGGCTCAAAATCAGAGGCATTGTTGGGTATGACAAAATGTCTAAATTAACTTTTAGATCTCTCCTCTTGAGGCAGTCCAAACCTTTGATAAGAGAGTTAGAGCATCCCTTTCCTATTAATGCACCGACAGCAAAAGATACGGTGGAGTTGTGCACGTATGCGATGGAATACTATAGAGACGTAGTCTCAACAAGACGGTCATTCGACCCCCCAAACTGCGACTTATCAGAATACTCAGACTTTTGGCCGCAGACTCTAAAAGTGATCTCACCCAGTGCGAGAAATATATTGGATTCACCAATGACATGAGAGGAGATTGGTAAGGCAGCAAGACAGATGGCATCTGGAAAATGCCCAGGCCTAGATGGTTTACCCGTAGAACTTTTCTTGGCAGTCTGGCCAGTATTTGCCCTTTTTTTATGCGAAATCTATAACAGGGCAATGGAAACTGGCGCACTCCCAGCCAATTTCACAAGAGGAATGATCTCCTTAATGTACAAAAAGGGGGACAAGCGTCAAGTCAAAAATTTGAGACTTATTTCCCTGTTAAATGTAACGTATAAATTATTTGCTAAAACCCTGGTCATACGTTTAGCGTGCCTATTACCGGACTTAATTGGGTGGGAACAAGGGACATTTGTTAAGGGACGCTCAATCTTTGAAAATATTTTATCAACAGTTCAAGCGTTAGAAATCATTAGTAAAGAGAAAAGAGACGTAGCAGTCCTTCTCCTAGATATGGAGAAGGCGTACGACAAGGTAGGTTGGGGTTTCGTTGCCACCACTCTTCGAAAGATGGGGTTCAGTGAGGCATTTTGTAGATGTGTAGAGGCTAGCTATCATCACGCCCAATCCACAGTGGTAGTAAATGAGAGACTCTCAGAGGATTTTCCCCTCACTATATCACTTCGTCAAGGATGCCCCCAAGCCCTTTTGCTTTTTGTAATCCAACTGGAAGTACTCCTTGCGAATATACGCAATAACGATAGGATAAGGGGATTAAGATTAAGTAACCAAGTGCAGTGGAAAGGAGGAGCTTTGACAAATGACCTGACCATTGCATGTGAGAATACAGTAGAAACTTTTCACGAACTAAGAAAGGTCTTAGATAGTTATTGTGAACTTTCAGAGGCTTCCATTAACTGGGATAAATCTCTCTACCTCCTACCCCCACCCAAGGTTTTGTGTGTGGATTGGGGTCTGAGACAGATTCCGGCGGACTCATCAGATCATTTCTTGGGGATACAAGTCTCGCTCTCTGATGTTGCAAATGTGCCGGACTCTATTCTGGAGAACAAGGTTTCGGCACGGATAGCGGGGTGGACACGGAACCATAAGCTCTCCCTTTATGGTAGAGCCCTGGTGCTCTCAGCGACAGCCCTCTCTATTCTTTGGTTTTCACTGACAATACATTTGTTCGGGAAAAACGCTTATTTAAAAATAAAGAAGGCTGCATGTTGTTATTTATGGAAACCTACAGCTTCAGAAAATCAAAAGTTCCTGCCAAAAGTGGCATGGGATCTGATAACTAATCCAAGAGATCAAGGAGGTTTTGGTTTGTTGGATCCGGTCCAGCAGAATCGTGGACTGTTGGGGAAATGGGTGGTATCTGCTGTGTTTGGAAATAAGAACAAATTATGGATTAGAATAGCAGAGTGGATACTGGCCAAGGAATGGTATTTAACTAGGCCCTCAGACGTCTGGGTCTGTCTACTGATTCCCTCCTTTTGTCGCAGACGCCCGAAATTCAAATTATGGAAAAACATACTGTACGCGTGGAGCAAACTGTTCCCTACCTCCTTTAGCCCCCCCTCTACTAAATCAGAAATCCTAAATCAGGTCCTGTTTGAGAATGGTTTTATTAAACAGACTAATGGGAAGGCATTCCTTGCATATGGGAGTAGGGGCTCTTTTGGTAGGGGATGGATTGAGAGAGGAATAGTCCAGTTGAAAGATATATGGGACCCAGAGATAGGAGACTGGATCTCAGTGCAGACTCTCATAATATCTTTGCACAGGCTACAGGCAGTGGAGGAGAATTTCAGGGAACTAAAGGCATCAATACCAGATTATTGGGTCAGGAACCTACGAACTCAGGAGGAGCTCCCAGAGGGTTCTTGGTGGGAAGATCCAGACGATGGTAGAAAAGTAATCAAGATTCTGGGACCGGAGATCCCTTAAGGTACAAGAGTGCAGAGTTGGGAACTAAGTCATCTAAACCAGGCTTTGGGCAATCTGTGTCCGGGCCCGGAGAAGGTGATCCAGTCGGACATAGAACTACACGAAGTGAGAGTTTGGCAGCCAGTGACTCACAAGGAGAAGAAAATGGTACTTATTGCGAGAAATATAGAGGATCTTCAAGTTGAGCCACTTTTGGCAGGATAGCAGGACGTAGCAACACCAAGAACTTTCACTCCGGTTTGGGCATATTCAGCGGCGGTGGGCAGAGAAATACAACAGAATTTGAAGAACCCTCTGCCCATCGCAGTGGCGATAGAAAGAGCGTCCAAGGAACCAGGTTTCTGCCTAGATTCGCTTGACTTCTTTAAACTATGGAAAACCCTTAAGAGAATCCCTTCTCAGAACCAGGCAAGTATCAAGTGGCAACAGTCTATGGCAGTGACAGCTTCGACATCCTGGCTTCGTACTAGAGGTATGGACATTGCGGAGACTTGTTCACGCTGCAGGTAGGGATGGGAAACAACAACCCATCTATGGCTTTATCGCCCTTTGGCCATGGAAGTCTGGGAATGGTGGATAGCACAGTGGAAGCAATTTACAGGGAATAAGTTTCCATGGACTCAGGAGTGGTCACTCTTTGGCCGGTGCGCAAAAGACCAGCTGTTGACGAAGGGCTGGGGGTATTTTGCCCTAGTCTGCAGTGGGTCAGTCATGGAGACCATATGGAAAGCAAGAAACGCAACAGTGTTCAGACAGGAGACGGTCTCCATTCACAGTCAAAGAGCACAAATCAAGGGTCTGATCAGGAGATCACTTAGAGTCGACTGGCAGAATAGGGGGAGGACTCAAGGGAAGGCTTGGTTTAAGCAGACATGGGCAAATGAAGGCGCTTTTGCGCAGGTCTCCGCAGAAGGGAATCTCAATCTGGCATGGTGG